TAGACGGCCCTCTTGCTTACTTAGAACAAACAGCAGCAAGTGTAGGCATGCCTGATCGCCGATAACCATCTTTGGTTGGAAAACTGGATATCATGGACTTTATCAGTTGTAATGGATCTCATTTGATTTGCATCATGGTTAAAGGCATACTATAGGCCCATTGATTATGCAATGTTGACGAACGCTAGAATAACTGGCACCTTGTGTAGTTAAAGGAATAATAGGTTTATTGATTATGCAATGTTGACGAATGCTAGAGTAACTGGCACTTTGTGTAGTTAATAAGTACATTACCTTATAGCCAAACGCGTATTAGTTTGTCCAATATCACTGCTGGTTACTAAGAAATGTCTAATTGAAATCCGCAGTCCAAAAATCCGTTGGCTACAGTTTCAAACCGCTGCCGGCGAAGCGGGTGTGATACAGATTTATAGTGCACCGGACATTTTCGCACGCATGCTCGGCCGTACCTAATGCTAGCGATAGTACAGTACCATAACTGTATACGTAACAGTAGCTCTGATTGTAATGAACGTGGAATCCACGTACGAATCACAGACGCTCGTGATAATGAAGTAGGCTGTGTTGGGGGCCAACACTATGTGGGATCGCGGACTAACCACGGCCACAGCCTAAACATGGAAAGCAGACGGCACTACGCGTATTTACGTATATTGGTCAAACGAATACACCTGTGTCTGAAATTGAAGACATGTGGGTACCCGTTCATTAGCACCCACGGTTATTTACTTGTGCCTCAATACCGAGAATACACCCAGAGATACATTCTGCGAGCTCATTACTGCACATTAGTCGTTATAAGCATCCTGGGACAAACTGGGACATCCTGGGACTCTGCTCAACACCCGTAGCAACATGTGACATCACCTAACCGTTTCGAGGCTATTTTGCTTGGCAAACAATTTTGTGTTGGCGCCAGATTACCAGATTTACGGATTTCTATTAGACATTTTTTAGTAATTAGCAGTGATATTGGACAAACTAATACGCGTTTGGCTATAAGGTAATGTACTTATTAACTACACAAAGTGCCAGTTACTCTAGCATTCGTTAACATTGCATAATCAATGGACCTATTATGTCTTTAATAAGTACATAACCTTATAGCCAAACGCGTATTAGTTTGTCCAATGTCACTGCTGGTTACATTACAAGCAAGACTTGAAATCGGTTGTTGATATTCATTTACGTGCTGTAAATGTCATCCAGGAGTCGAGCAATGACGTAAATGCATTTGTGCGGCCCGTATGTTTTGGACGCCAGATGAAATGGAGGGTGTCACTGTCAGCGGTGTAACCACCAGTGTTGGCCTCGAGACCGGCCTCGAGACCGTTTTCCTTGGTCTCGGTCTCGGTCTTGGTCTCGGAGTGCAATGACTTGGACTCGGACTCGAGGACTCGGGTCGAGGCCACTACATACATAGTACACAACTGTACATATTGTAACACGCAGTTTACAAGAATTTAAAACTAAAACTCCTAGGTTTTCTAGATACACGGCCTAATCTTGTAACGTTTTCAATGGCTCGATTAAGATTCTTGTCCCTTTGGTTTGAATCTGCTGTCACTTCGTCCCTTTGCGCTTTTTCTACCACTTCTTTCTCTTCTTCTTCCACTTCGAAGGTACTATCACTCTCTCATTTGGTTCAACAAGCCGTGTCAGTCTCGTAAAACACAAATGGATCCGTTACTTTGACACGTTTCGTATGACTCGTGTCTCTGTGTTTTCGGCTGACTATACACTTTCGAATGTCTACGATGCACTGTTGCGATTTTTTTCCCTTTTCCCCTTTTTTTCGATTTTTCCCCTTTTTCCGATTTTTCCTTTTTTTTTAAATCAAAACTGGACTCGTACACTCGGACTCGGACTCGGACTCGGGGGGGTGCGGACTCGGACTCGGACTCGGACTCGGACTCGGGGGGGTGCGGACTCGACTAAAACACTGGTAACCACGGCCACGGACTAAACATGGAAATGGAGTAAAACACACGTACTAATCACGGACGCACATTGTCATGGACAGCCCTGACAAAAAGTTCCTTATCACGATCGTCCATGTTTACCAAATCACTGATGATAGCATTGCGTACGGCCGAGCATGCGTGCAATAATATCCGGTGCACTATAAATCTGTATCACACCCGCTTCGCCGGCAGTAGTTTGAAACTGTAAACAACTGATTTCTTGGACTGCGAATTTAAATTATACATTTCTTAATAACCAGCAGTGATATTGGACAAACTAATACGCGTTTGGATGTAAGGTTATGTACTTATTAACTACACAGGGTGCCAGTTACCCGAGCATTCGTCAACAATGCATAATCAATGGTCCTAGTAGTATTATGCCTTTAATTATTGGGCAAGTGTTTGTAAATATAACGACATTTTAAAGTAACCATTGCTAGAGTTTTCGGCTCAAGGCAAAACGCAAAACACACAAAACACGCACATACATACATACATACATTTCAGGGCTGTAGCACAGGAACATCACGGGAAATTATCGCGCGTAGCAATGGTGAGAAACAGTCGGAAACGGGCGAGTAGTGTCGCTTAAACGCAGTTTTTTCCACACTTCCTGTAAAGTGACATGTTTCTCGGTGGAAATGAACAAAGAACACCTTCAAGAACACCCCTGTCGATTTTAAAGGGCCTACCCCCACATTTACGAAAATGACATGGGTCTCAATCTGGACATCATCTCTATCCTTGAACCGAGTTGTCCAGTGTTTTCACCACTTTCATGACACCTACCGTTATTGCTTGAGTAACAATAAAATGTCTTAGAGTCTTTGTATTCACCGAAAACTGCCAGTTTCGAACTAATCGTTTTTGTAAACATTCGTTTTCTGTCATCCTGAACTAACAGAAAGTATGGATTAGCTTGTGGCGCCACCACGTATCTGCCATAGACATAGTACAGGCTAGACTGGTACCCGGTCGACAGTTCCACACGCTACACTAACGACCGGTAAGCGCCGTTTAAAGCTTGGTAGCTATTGGTGAGTTGCGACTGACCAATCGCTACCAGTTTAGGTCCCTGGAAAATTGTCCAGCCTAGACTGGTACCCGTTCGCCACCTTCACTCCGGCAAGTATCCTTCGCTACACTCTCTGTCGACCGGGTACCAGTCTAGTACCCGTTCAAGGCGCCGCTCACATTTTCGACAAAGTAAGCCTTCAGCAATCGAAATCTCGCCGTACCTGCATAATAATTTAGATAATTGTTTCTTTTCACCAGCGGTGGAACTAATTTCTCTTGCAAATCCTTTCTCAATGTCAGATTTCTTGCAAACAATGCAAATTCTCTCACTTATACGTAACTTCCTAGGTGTTATTGTCGCCATTAGTGATTACAACGGGACCGAGGCTGACAAAAATCGCGCATGCGCATGCGCGCATACGGTCAGAATCTGACCGTATGGATTAGGCCGTACCGGTCGTCAGTGTAGCGAAGGATATATGCCGGAGTGAAGGTGGCGAACGGGTACCAGTCTAAGTACAGGCATGCACTTGTTTTCAATTCATCACCGACAAAAATACAAGTTCACTAATTCTGCCATTAGGCATTATCGGCATACGATAAAATTTATTACCGTTACGATGTGGTCAAATCCATTTTTCTATGATATAACTGCATAAAATCTTAGAATTTTTAATGTTGGTGTAATCAGTGATATTTCCGCTGTCAGGTGAGACTGTATTCAGCTTTATTTAGTTTTTATGAGAAAAAATCTCGCAATAACCGTTTTAATTAGTACCAGCTGCATTTGTCAGTCACATTTCATGTGCTTGTGCAGAATAACTGTATATATGTATTTGTCTTTTGTATGCTAACCATCACAATAAAAACAATATTTAGCAAGTCTCTAGAAGATTAGTTTTATTCGGTTACTAAATCTACATGATAAAGCCAAATTAATGAAAACTAACTGGCTACAATTGCTAGGCATCTATGTACAGCAAAGCCCAGTGTAAAATGACAGTAGAGTGATCTACTTCATGCACTCATCATAAATTAAACCAATTAACGTGTGAGATGAGATGACTGACAAACACAGATATTCAATTAAAAAAGTAAGGTTGGTAAGCAACCACCAACTCACAAAAATTAATAGCACACTTGGAAAAACAATGGAACATACTATAGCATAGAACTTGGTTGTTTAGAAATGCATGTCATACCTAAAAAGAATTATTGAACTCATTGTTAGCATACAGTCAGTATTCACTCAACAGTGTAGGTTTTAAAAACACGTTAGAGCTGACTAAATGCCATAAAGACAAGTGAGCTCTATCCACAATATATCAGATTTACCTTGTATCACTCCAATTTTGGCATCACCATAACTAATTGGCCTAAATGTCTAGTTGTTACACGTCATAGTAAATGGGGTCCGATCAGATTAGTTGCAACCTGTAATATCTTTGAATATCTCATGCAATTCACAAGTCACAATGCAAACAAGTACTAGCTCAATTCTATTTTAGGACTACCAGTACACCATTATTATTATATCAACCATTACTCAATCCATCCCAGATGATGATGATGACGCCGACGACGACCATGATGATGCACATACTGGAGTAAAAAGGTATACCTGACACCAAAAACTCCCTATAACTAATACTTGTCAATAAATTGAATCTCACACAATACACAGACATGCATCAAAAAAATCTAGGCTAAGATGTCTGTTTCAACAAGTATATACAACTTGCAACCAGAGTACTTTAAAAATTACATAAAACAGTGTAATAGGCTGCATATTTAGACTATATAATAGTAATGTGATAAGGCCAAAACAAAATATAGGTGTGGTTACGGTTTGCCGACCGACTCTATTTATTCCCAGCGACCCTAAACATTTTATTCAGTTTAAAAAAAATTTTTAATTTAAAATTCCTGCTTCAAAAGGCACAACGCACATACTTCGGACATGGTTCGTAAATAAAATATTTCAAGAAAATAAAATGTTTTCCCTACCTATCTACCCTATTTTTTTCCGGCATGTAACGGTAACCACACATATATTTTGTTTTGGCCTAATGCAGCCACAAATACCAAGAAGGGGTCAGTAATTTCAACAATATTAACTACTAAAAACTATAATGTACACTAAAATTATTATGAACCCAAATTTCATGTTGTGTTCTAGAAAAACTACTACTACTAGGAAAACAGATGTGAATTCCAGAAAAGATCTTTTCTTATCATTTAACATGGCTGCATTCAAATGAATGGAGTGTTCGATGTGCATACAAAATTCACATTGCAGGTAATACATATGAAATATATACATGTACAAATTTGTAAAAATATAAATCCTGCGAGGAATGATTGGTATTGAAATATGCGTTAAAGGAGAGTATTAAAATACACATTGCTGGTTAACACAATAAACATTTTTATAGCACTTAAAAATAAATGAATTTCACTTCCCTATTTTATACTATGTCTAGTAAAATGGATTTTGTCTAAGAATAGCAATTCTGACAACATAAAAATCTATGATGCTAATATACAAGAATGTAGCTCACAGTACTTATTCTACTATCTATGCCAGACACAGAATACAATAAAAAAAGAAAATTACAAGACTGCACGTTTTCTATCAAGGACAGAAATGTATCGCACAGCCACTGGAAGTCACCATGTAAAAAACCGGCTCACTTCCTTTATTTGCGTGCTCGTGTCATTCTCCGAGTGACGGGCGACTTCGCTGGAGAGGTTGTTGTCAGCTTGGTGTTTCCTTTTCTTGCTTTTGGTGAAACTGCATAAAAATTATGTAAACATCATCATTGAGGCACTGTTTAGAGTAGCAATATCTATACAATCATGATTACTTTATTACTATTTTTGTAACACAGCCCACTTGCCATTATGTTGAATGTATTAGTAGCTGTATACATGGTAATAAATATCAAAACTAATGGAATAGGATTTAAAAAAATATGTGGGAATAGGAAAATTTAAAGAGAGTACTTGGATTGAAGTCTAAATTTTACATTTAGGAATCATTCATTCATGGAAAACATTAGCCCATTTCAGTTTTTCAAATGCAGATAAAAACAAATACTAGCCATAATGGTGTTAAACCAATTAAATTAATATAATACGCACACACAACAGATAAAATAAACGATTAGTTATAACTTACCTGTCGTGGCTTTTGTCGCCTTTATAGAAGTAGGCTTACGTTGCCCACGAGCAGATTTCTTCGCTGCAGTAGAGATGGCCTTTTCTGCCGATTGTAACACGTCAGTTGTTTTGCCTGCTTTACCTCTGTAATAAAAAAATATCAATAATTATCCTATGCTCAATGACACATTACATAACTTTAGAATAGTGGACTAGTGATGTTTTGATGATAAATTACAATTGAAAGCTGACCGTTTGCAGTCAACAATTAGATAATTAATCACAAAAATAATATTTTCTCATTTTTTAAAAGAAAACTAATCAAAAGCTGTGCATTCTTGATGGTCAGTGGCTCGCCGGATAGCTACTCTATGTGCATCAATAGAAAGTACCTTTGTGAAACTGGATTTAAACATGGTGCCAGAAACACAAATGCATCTGTGTGCTATGAAATTCTGCCATTCTAGGTTTGGTCTAGGAAATTGTCCCATCCATTGCTTCTTCTTAGATTGCTCCAACTAACACCTCCTTAACTGTCGCCTATTCTACCAGCTGCTCGTGTAACTTCATGCAGTATCATTTTATGATTTAATATAGTTCTTGGCCTATGGACCAAATATGCAATTAAATCATCTATTTTCTATTATCACTACGCCTATTGAAATGATTTATCAGATGGCAGTGTCTGCCACTCACGCGAGACTTATGTAACATCCACATAGAAGTTGAAATTCATTCAAATTTATAACCATAGTAGATTTTTGTAGATAACACATCGTACGAGTGTTCTAAGAAATATTAACTTATTACAGATACTCGCTGTCAAGCAAGGAATGTCTGCAAGTGCTCAGACCATTGGGAAAACGTGAGAACATATTATTAGCTTATCTGACGAAGTCAGATGCAGCTTGTAGAATCGCATGATTGTCCGTGCGTCCGTCCGTCCATGCGTCAACAGTTGGGCACAAATCTTAACCGCTCGACGTACGGTCACGATATTCGGGACGTCGGGGGGGATCATGAAAAGGACTCAGGATGACAAATTTGGGGGTCAAGGGTCAAAGGTCCAGAAGTGTAAACGGAGGGGGAATATTTCCCCCTTAACTTAAGGTATAGGAGGAAATACGGAATTGCGGCACAAAGCTTAACGGCTCGACCTATGCTCTTAATATTCGGTGTATAGTGTGATGGGCAGGAAACCCATCACCAGTGCGAAATTGGAAGTCACAGGTCAAAGGGCAGTGGGGAAAAGGTCAGATATCAGACATGGACTAATGGACAAAGTAAAAAACTTTTTTGTTTCAGCGCTGACCTACCATTTTTATCATTTTATTGAAAGGACCATGAAATGTGCTTTCCACTGCACGCGAAGAGTAAGTGTCTGATAACCTTTTGACCCTCAAGAGGAGGGTTAAACATGGATTCCTGAACTGCCTCAATGACGTCACAGTGTTCTCATGTTCATGGCACATCCATAATCTAGAAAGCCAATATGCCTGAATAGCCGAACGGGTACAGCACAGGCGTCACGGCTCAAAGGTCCTTTGATCGAATCCCATCAGATTTTTTATTATTTACCTGTTTTCTGTATTCTTTGTATTTTATCTTTATCCATTTAACAATTTTTTCCCGATTAACGCAAATATTTACATGATATATTTACAACAATTTAATAACAACAAATAATTTTTACAATTACTTAAAAAAAAAATTGGGTTAGGTTTAGGGCAGGGCTCGAATTAACCGACGGCACCGACGGCAATTGCCGTCGGTGCCCCTATCAATCGCCGTACTGCCCCTGAAAATCCACCCCGACTGACGGCAGTCACCTGCCTTGCCATTTTGTGTAATTGCCGTCGGTGCCCTTTAATCTACTGCCTTAGTTTCGTTTTTAGTCGAGTCAACATAACACGTGCGCGTGCGTGCTGTAGTTGCAATGATGAGCTTAAAACCGATAGTCGCAGGAGGAAATAATAACAGCATCGGATAATTATTCGCTCCTGATAGCGGGCATGTAACATTTCTTGTTAAGTCACTGTACTTCCATTAGCAGAGGGGGGTACAGGGGTCGGTGTTACGGTGTAAGCTTACATGGGGGCATATTGTTTTGTACATTAAAAGCAAGACGATGTTGATGTACTAATTTGTTATGAGTTTTCCTTTATTTTACAAAAGTGCGTTTGTGCCCTTCTCAAATTTTGAGAGTTGCCTTGGTGCCTTTTAAAATTGCCTCTGTGCCTTCCATTTTAAAGAAAATTCAAGGCGATTTCTCACATGCCCTAAAAAAATTGCCTTGTCCTTCTTGTCGCTTAATTCGAGTCCTGGGTTAGGGTTAGGGTCACAATGCACCATAAAACAGGAGTTTCAGGCACGCGATTTGTATCAACCAATGGGATTTGAGAGGTATGCAGAATGCAGAAGGTTGCTGAAATTATGTGTACACAACTGCGTATCTGCATATATGCGCCTAAAGCCTAGGACACACTGTGCGATTTTCTACACTGGCCGCTTGCGATCCGCCGATCGATAAATACGGTGCCAGGTCGAAAAACCGGGCGGAAACATTCAACATGTTGAATACGAGCGATGCCCCGGGCGTATGGGATCGCGAGGGAAATACGCAATACCGCTACACGATCGCAAGCGGCCAGTGTAGAAAATCGCGCAGTGTGTCCTAGGCTTAACAAAGGTGTCACTATGCATGACTTAAATGTTACGTTTATAACCGTAGCAACAGACCTCAGATGAGCCCAGACGCTCTGCGGCTCTTGTTATAATATAAAGGCAATCAAATTCCAGTTTGTCACGCATGTGCATTCTCTGATCTCCACATTTACCAATGTTATAATTTCATAAAAATCAATTTCCAACTCTATTGTGATCAGTAAATAATGAAAATCATGCCTGATAACATCGTAATAGTTGCGAATCTAAAAATCATCTGATCGAAAAATCATCTCAACCAAAAGATCCTAACCTTAATACAAATAGTCGCTGCAATAAATCACACATACACAAAAGCCCAATATGACTTAATATTATTACCTGCGCTTTGATGCCTGCAGATTGGCACTTTTAGATGTCTCAATTGCACCTTTTTTGCTCCTCTTGGCAGGTGGAGAAGACATTTCTCTGGGCTCTGGTTCCTGTTTCACTGGTGATGGCAGTGTCAGTTTCTCTCCTACCTCTGTACTTTCACTCCTATTTAATTAAGACACCTTTCATGCTAGTTGCTGTTTTGACGCCATGAAGGATATGACAACACATAAAGCAAGGGTGAAATATATAGAACCCTACTTCCAGTTGGACTTGGAAGTCTTTACTAGTAACATGTAGCAAGCACTTACCCCTTAGTAGCAGTCTTGGATCCTTTCCGGGATCTTGGAACCTTAACAAGATCTGCTGGTGCATGGTCAACAGCCTTTCTCTTGCCTAAACCTTTTTCCACAACTGTAACAGATTGCTCTATTGCGTCTGTCAATGCGCCTTTTGCCCTACGACGCCTACTGGAGAGGGCAGGAGACGATTTCAAAGGACTGGCTTCAAACGATACAGCTTTGCCTCGCTTGGGTTTAGCAACTGGAGAAATAAGTGCTGTATTCACACGTCTGGACTTGCCTGTCTGTTTTGGATTCGATTTTTCAGAAACTGGTGACTTGGCTGGGTTTACTATTGCTTTAGCAGCACGCTTGCCCCTGCCTGTCTGTTTTGGAGGTGAAGGCTCGGGAACTGGTGACTTGGCTGGGTTTACTATTGCTTTAGCAGCACGCTTGCCCCTGCCCGTCTGTTTTGGAGGTGAAGGCTCAGGAAGTGGTGAGCTGGCAGACTTTACTATTGCTTTAGCAGCACGCATTCTCCTGCCTGTCTGCTTTGGAGTTGAAGGCTCAGGAACTGGTGATTTGGCTGGCTTCACTGCAGCTTTAGCAGCACGCTTGCCCCTGCCTGTCTGTTTTGGAGGTGAAGGCTCGGGAACTGGTGACTTGACTGGGGTCACTATTGCTTTAGCAGCACGCTTGCCCCTGCGTGTTTGTTTTGGTAGTGAAGGCTCAGGAACTGGTGACTTGACTGGTGTTACTATTGCTTTAGCAGCACGCTTGCCTCTGCTTTTTTGTTTTGGAGGTGAAGGCTCAGGAATTGGTGAGCTGGCAGACTTTACTATTGCTTTAGCAGCACGCGTTCTTCTGCCTGTTTGCTTTGGAGTTGAAGGCTCAGGAACTGGTGACTTGGCTGGCTTCACAGCAGCACGCTTCCCTTTGCCTGTCTGTTTCGGAGGGGAAGGCTCAGGAAGTGGTGAGCTGGCAGACTTTACTATTGCTTTAGCAGCACACGTTCTCCTGCCTGTCTGTTTTGGAGTTGAAGGCTCGGGAACTGGTGACTTGACTGGGGTTACTTTAGCAGCACGCTTGCCTCTGCCTGTCTGTTTTGGAGGTGAAGGCTCGGGAACTCGTGACTTAACTGGGGTTACTATTGCTTTAGCAGCACGCTTGCCTCTGCCTGTCTGTTTTGGACTTGAAGGCTCGGGACCTGGTGACTTGACTGGGATTGCTTTAGCAGCACTCTTGCCTCTGCCTGTCTGTTTTGGACTTGAAGGCTCGGGACCTGGTGACTTGACTGGGGTTGCTTTAGCAGCACGCTTGCCTCTGCCTGTCTGTTTTGGAGGTGAAGGCTCGGGAACTGATGACTTGACTGGGGTTACTATTGCTTTAGCAGCACGCTTGCCTCTGCCTGTCTGTTTTAGAGGTGAAGGCTCGGGAACTGGTGACTTGACTGGGGTTACTATTGCTTTAGCAGCATGCTTGCCCCTGCCTGTCTGTTTTGGAGTTGAAAGCCCGGGAACTGGCGACTTGACTGGGGTTGCTTTAGCAGCACGCTTGCCTCCGCTCGTTTGTTTTGGAGGTGAGGGCTCGGGAACTGGTGACTTGACTGGGGTTACTATTGCTTTAGCAGCATGCTTGCCCCTGCCTGTCTGTTTTGGAGTTGAAAGCTCGGGAACTGGTGACTTGACTGGGGTTACTATTGCTTTAGCAGCATGCTTGCCCCTGCCTGTCTGTTTTGGAGTTGAAAGCTCGGGAACTGGTGACTTGACTGGGGTTGCTTTAGCAGCACGCGTGCCTCCGCTCGTTTGTTTTGGAGGTGAAGACTCAGGAACTAGTGATCTGGCTGGTGTTACTAGAGCTTCAAGGTCGTGCATGTCTCTTGATGGCTGTTTTTTAGGGGAAATCTTTGCATCAGGCGTTTCAACCTTTTGCCTTTTAGGAGGCTTCTTTGTAGTGGAGCTAGCCTTCCTCTTCAGAGATGGCTCTGGCTGACTTGGAGTCTTCATCAAATCACTGATCCCTGACAGCTCTGCTTCCGAAAGCTGCTTGGGTGTTTTCATAAGCTCTCTTATGCCCGTTAAGCATGGGCTCTCGACTCTTTTAGGCGTTCTGCTAAGCTCCCGAATGCCCACCAATTGTGGACTTGTTGCAACCTTTGCAGTTCTCATAAGCTCTTTAACACCTGTTATTTGAGGACTAACAATATCTTTAGGTGTTTTCATAACTTCTTTGACACCTATGAGCACTGGACTGGATTGCAATGTTGGAGACTTCATCATCCTTTTAACAGCAGCCAAGTTTGGACTTCTAGTAGACTTAGGTGTTTTCATTAGCTTTTTAATTCCACCAACTTTTGGACTAACCACCTGTTTTGGAGTTTTCATCATTTCCCGCACTAATTTTTTGCCTGTCGATTTTGGAGTAACTGATTTTCTCCCACTTTTCTGCATCTGTCCTGACACAGGAGACATGGCTGTCATAGACTTTCTTGGAGATTTCCTTTTCACTGAACTAGTGGTTGGATGACTCTGGGGTGTCATTTGTGTCCTTTTAACTTTAGGTGTTTTCATTAGCTCTGTGACACCAGTAAAGCTAATATCAGCAGCTTTCTCCATTGGAGCAGACATATTTTTCTTACCTTTCCTGTATACTTTAGGTGTCTTGGTAACTTTCTTGTGTATCATGATGTTTTCAGGGGACACAGCATGGCCTGTGCTATTTACCTCTGGAGTTTTAGGAACCTTACGTACCTTACTGGGTGTCTTGGCAGCCTTTGCTGAATTAATAAATGCCTTCTTAACTACAATATTTCGCTTTGCTCTTGCAATAGCCTTCTTCACAAGCTTTTTCTTGTGAGTAGCTTTTGTTACACCTTTCAGAGCAATTCCTTCACGAACAACATCAGCCCAAGATATCACTGGCATAGCTTTAACTCCTTTTGATTGTGTAGTCTTTCTTGTGCTTCCTTTTGGAGTCGTTTTCATCTTTCTTGCTGATCCTATTACTTTTCTAACTGACCTTGGAGTAGCGATTACGACTTTTTTCTTTTGTACCGAAGCTTTTGTAGTTTCTTTAACAGCAGGCTTTGGAGTATTCACCTTAGATTTATTGGGTGTCTTCTGTTTTGGAGTACGTTTGGGTGTGTTCTGTTTTGGAGTACGTTTGGGTGTGTTCTGTTTTGGAGTACGTTTGGATGTGTTCTGTTTTGGAGTACGTTTGGGACTCTGTACTGCAATCTTCTGTTTTGGAGTTACCTTGGGCATTTTTGCTATCGGACTTATTGTAACAAGCTCTGGAGATGTATTCATTTTGGGTGTGACCTGCTTTGGAGTTTTCTTAGGAGTTTTTTGTTTTGGAGTTTGTTTTATTGTCTTCTGTTTAGGACTTTGATTTGGGGTCTTCTGTGTTGGTGTTACCTTAGGCATTTTCAGTGCTGGACTTATCCTAGCACGCTCTGGAGATGCAGTCATTTTTGGAGTCACCTGTTTTGGAGTTTGTTTCGGTGTCATCTTTTTTGGAGTTTGTTTCGGTGTCTTCTCTTTTGGAGTTTGTTTCGGGGTCTTCTGTTTTGGAGTTTGTTTCGGTGTCTTCTGTTTTGGAGTTTGTTTTGGTGTCTTCTGTTTTGGACTTTGATTTGGTGCCTCCTGTTTTGGACTTTGTTTTGGTATCTTTTGTTCTGAAGTTACCGTAGATGTTTTTAGCACTGGACTCATCAAAGCAAGCTCTGGAGAAGCAGTTACTTTAGGTGTCATCTGTTTTGGGGTCTTAATCGGTTCTTGATTTACAGGTGTATTAAGTGCCTTCTGCTTCGGAGTCCTTTTAGGTGTCTTTGATGGAGTATTTTGTACTGCACATGGTGAATCTGCTTTCTTATTAGGGGTCTTCTGCACTGGAGTCTCTTTAACAACTTGACGAGGAGATGTTTTAGGTGTCTTCAAGTTTGGACTTTTTTCACTTCGATTTTGTGCAGGAGACTTTTTGGGCATCTTCTGTTTTGGACTCACAGTCGCCACCTCTGCATTTGGACTGCTACTCATTTTGTTTGAAGTGTTTTTCGGAGACATTTCCATCATATGGACAGAGGTATCGACTGCAGGACTCTTCCCATCACTTTCTTCTGAGATAATTCTGTGAGACAGGCTGTTCCGGTTTCCACTCTTGACAGGAGTAGAATTAGAGGTCACAGGCATTGACCGTCGAGATGGCAGTGCCCCCCGTCTGACAGGCGTAGACGGTGGCAGATCTTGGTCAAACTGTTCCGGGCTTAAGTTGGGACCAAACGAAATCCTTGTTCGCTTTGTAGGTGGTGAAATCTTTAATTTAGGCTCTACCGTCTTGCGTTTCTGTCCACTGGATACTGTAGTTTTCCCTATAAAAATCGAGCATGTAGGTAATCACAAGAATATATACAAGACACCATGAACGATAAGAACAAGAGCGTATAAAGAAGGAGAGCATACAACGGTGAAATGCTGAAACCATGTTGCAGTATTAGTCAAATTAATAAACTTTGCCCGTTTTATTTTGACGATTCTTTGCAGTATTATTGATCAGCTGTCCTACCTTGTTAATATAAAATAAACTGCATGTCCCTAAGATGCCCCTACGCTGAGATAATGAGCGGTGAAAATCTGGTATTTTCGCCGAAAACCGTCTCTCGCTTTGAGATAACTTCGGGAAACCTCGCGTGTTTCCGTCAATGATTGACAAATGGAATGAATGACATCTGTTATTGGTTGCCATAGTGACGACCCCCACCTGTGCCCACCTCACGCTGGATGTATAGTAATCTCTGTAGTACTGACGTGAGGCAGCGCTACCATGGCGCTACACAGCGGCGACCGGAAGCAATACACTGGCCACAAAGCGAGAGACAGTCGCAGTAAACAGTGATCTCGAGCCGATTTTCGGCGAAAATACCAGATTTTCACCGCTCATTATCTCAGCGTAGGAGCATCGTAGGGACATGCGGTTTGTTTTATATTAATAAGGTAGGACAACTGATCAATAATACCGCAAGAAGAATCGTCAAAATAAAACGGGCAAAGTTTCTTAATTCGACTAATACTGCAACATGGTTTCACAATTTCACCGTTGTACGCTCTCCTTTATACGCTCTTGATAAGAACAAGAGTAGATAATAACACAAGAGTGAGACACCCGATTCCCGCATTTTTAACCGATTTTTCTCATCAAAATTTGCCACCAATAAAGAAGCACGTGTATACGTTCCTCAGCTTATTATGACCACTAATCACTCACCTTCGTGGTACTGATATTCGTTTACATATATTTGCTAGCGTATTGCTGTAAATCGTAATCTTGCATGAGCTGAATTCGCACAATTTACCGCTATTGTGTGAGGTGTTATGACAAATTTTGAAGCTATAGTGGCGCCAATATTTAGCAACGGACAGTTTCCAAATCATTCGTGCCCCGATAGGGTTGAGAGACAATCTAAATTTCGCATTTTGATCTCGTGAGGGACCGCGAGACGCGCTCAGTTATTGTGATCGCAACACAAGAAATTGACATACTATTGTAAGCCGGCGAAACCCCACACGCCAGGGAAAGTTATGGCAATGTGAGAACGCAACCGGTGTCAGGAGAATGTATGAAACAGGGACGGGAGAGTCAGCGGCAGGACGGAGGTCAAAGAGAGCCGTGACTCAAGATGGCGCCGTCTAGCTGGAAGCCCGGTCATGAATCCCCGAATCCTTGCGCATTGTGACAGCCTAGACACTAACCAGATGATCTATGACATCAGGGCAGGAATTGGGCCATGGAATCCGGCCAAGCGCGCACCGCGCATATTCGGTAGCGGGAGATAGCAGTAGGAATCCGCACTCTGCCGTGTTCGGGAGGGCCGGGTGGTCAGAAGGGGAGCGAAAGGAGATCTGTGACGTAAGGGAAGAAACGCGATCGCGGACCGGGGTGCGCCGTATAAATAGCGGAAGCCACCGTTCTCGGGACAGGCTTCTGGTGCCAGCGACCCGCTGAGGAATGGGTAGTGTGTAGTAACCGCTCTTGCTTTCAGTAGTGCACGGAAACCTCATGTATTGTATTAGAGATTTAGTAAACCACCAGTGAACGTTACTTCTTGTCTTGTTTTATCTCTATCAGTCGATTACAGACCTACTACGGTAGTGTGAATCAAACGTCTACATTTAGTGCAGGACCAGTCGAACTTGGGTATTCCTTTGCCAAACAACAAACTAAAGGTACTATAGCTATACGATGCACGAAAGTCGAGAAGAACACTGAGTGAAGACAGCTGTATCGATGATGAAGAAGAAGATGAAGAAGAAGAAGGAGGAAGAAGATGAAGAAGAAGAAGAATAATAAGAGGAAGAAAGAAGAAAGGAACATTGACATGCTTGGCAGATACCGCAGTGATTGTGACATTCGTTATGCAGAGTTTCGCCATACGAGCAAAATGTATGGAAATGCATAGTGACAGTGATATGCCGCTGCAAATAGCGCATATAAACCAGAACTTATCTTGTACGACCTGGCTACGGAAGAAGCAGGGACGACGCAGAAACACGCGCGATTCAGCTACACGCAAGGACCGACAGGAAGCAGCTGATGCCGGACAGCGACAATATAGCGAGATATCAGTTGAAAAGACAACAAATGATCAAGGAGATAGTTCGAGGCGGGTGAGTGAAACAAGTTCTTGTGTCGGCATAAATAGATTTCGTATTAAACTAGCTTTAAAAGGTACGAGCGTATTACTTAGCGAAATATTAAAGCACTTTTCTCCACCTATAACTACCGCCATTATCCCCTCCACCACCCTCAACATCCTATTATTTTATTACGTTAGCCATGACTGATTTACCTATAACCTTTGACCTCCGTCCCGCCGCTGACTCTCCCGTCCCTGTTTTATACATTCTCCTGACACCGGTTGCGTTCTCGCATTGCCATAACTTTCCCTGGCGTGTGGGGTTTCGCCTGCTTACACTATTTTACATAAGTAATAATACAATAATAAAAATATTCTCTGTAGTAGTTTGCAGTAAGTATCACATTACGCACGCGCAGGTAATCAAGTACATTAAACCCCACATTAAAAACACATTTAAAATAATTTGGAAACAGTCCGTTGCTATATATTGGCGCCACTATAGCTTCAAAATTTGTCTTAACACCTCACACAATAGCGGTAAATTGTGAGAATTCAGCTCGTGCAAAATTACGATTTACAGCAATACGCTAGCAAATATATGTAAACGAATATCAGTACCACGAAGGTGAGTGATTAGTGGGCATAATAAGCTGAGGAACATATACAACTTTCTTCTTTATTGGTGGCAAATTTTGATGAGAAAAATCGGTTAAAAATGCCGGAATCGGGTGTCTTACTCTTGTGTTATTATCTACTCTTGATTAGAACCATCTCCCAAACATACATATTTTATTTTTGGCATTTTAATTGGAATGTTCAATGAAAGAGAATGGGAAATGACATCACTCTATGAAGCATATAAATGTCTAAAGGCAATAAAAACACTACTGTTAATAAGCATACATCGGTTACAGGGTTCTCCCCAGAATAAAATTGAAACAGGGGGAGGGGAGAGGGGGGGAAAGGAAACTAGGGGGGTCCGGGGAGCGTGTTTTTTTACCGTAATGCGTAAAATCGCCACCACACCATAGACGGTATTTGGGATACTTGTATATAAGACAGCCAAGTCGGTACAGTTTGTGTAAAAGGTTTGGGACAGTGTGACTGTTTGTATTTGTGTGTGGTCTGCAGTCTGCAGTGCATGCGTAGTGTAGGACGTTTACTCATTAGTGGTACCGTAAAAATACACGCCTCCGAGGGCCTGGTCGAATGGGAATTCTTAATGATCGATTCCCGCGCTGTCAAACTTTTATTGTGGTGGAATTTAATCGGGGCGGAGGTAATTTAAACGGGGTGCAACGATTGAAACGTGGGGGGAGTTTTCCTAAACGGGGCGGGCGCGCCCGGTTTGCGCAACGTAGGGAGAACCCTGGGTTACAATATAGTGAAATCTTGTTATTGTATATTCAAATGGTGACATTTTTATAGAAATAGTGACCTTGGTCTTGATCCTCAAACGGAAATTTGTTTGTCGTAAATTTTTTGGGAGAATGAGATATGCTAGAGCAATGATACTATGTGAACATATGTACATATTGGCAGAACTTTACTGGAAGGGGACAATAAGATATGTACAGTTAAGATAACATTGAAGCTATCTTACTATTAAACTGTTCACTGTACATCTGCAATAGTTTCACACAGTTCATAGATTGTCTTCACATAGAAATAGTACCTTTAGTGTTTGGTGACGGTGACACCTGCTTAGTAGACTTTCTACAATCATCAGTGGACTCAATAATTGTCTCAGCACTTCTTCGGAGATCACTTATGCTCTTTCTCAGTGGTACAGACTTGGGGGGTTGTCTAGGACTGCTGTACTGTGGTGCCTTATGGTTATAAACAGAGAAAACACTGAAAACCAGTGGCAACTAGAACACATATATATAAAAATTTAAATAAACACCACACACTTCCCATTTCACCCCCACTTTTTATGACTCTCATATACACAATGAACGCATATTCCCACTTACACGACACAGATGTGCACATGCGCGCACGGACGCACACATATACACAAACACAAGTATTGGTCTGACTGAGATGATGTTCAGCTAACCCAAGTTCATTGAGAGCTAAATAATCAAATTCGAAATTCCATGCTCATGTTTTACTTTGTACGTACTTCTGTCAAGGAATGTTGCAGAGCACCATAAAAAATTCAATTCTTTTAAATTTCACAATGATTAATAACTAGTAGAAATTATCTGGAAATGGCTATATGTTGGTTGATTGAAAATTATTTTAAAAATCATTGTCGATTGTTTGCATTTCCAGAGCTATTAAAAGCTAAACATTAGATTTCTCATCTAAAGATTCCATTTAGAGTACTTAATTATTTGTGTAATTGATTATTGATACAAACTTCAAAAAATCACCAATTCATGAAAATATAACAGATTCCCAGTGCTAGTTGGGAACATATATATATTCAACCACCTTGCAATACATTTCAACTTAATGTCCGCACAAGTGCAAGGGTTGCATAAGTAACTAGAGCACTCGGAGAGCGCAGACCTCCGCCAAGTACAGTGATGATGTCATTGTATGAGCGACATAGGGCTCATACATTGACCTGGTTTCACATTGCAGTTCTACGTTTGCTGGTGCTGGTTTCAGTTTCAGTTACAATTGGCGAAACTCATGATAAAATGTACCTGGTTTGCGTTTCTTATCGAATGGCATTGCATCATTTGTTAACACCTACAAGCAATATTGCAATGATGAAAATTTTTATTAATTTTATTAATTAATCCGGATCACCACCAAAATGTATCAATTTCTAAAGTTATCCCCTTCTGACCGCTATCCTGAAAATTTAATTAATTAATTGGATCCGGATCACCACCAAAATCTCATCAATTCTAAGTTAGGCGATTTCTGACCTATCCTGGAAATTTTATGACAATCCGTCCATAACATTTTCAGTTAGGCTGTACACAAACCCACAAACCAACAAACAAACACTCGCCGGTGAAAACATAACCTCTTGCCAACCCCTTGGCGGAGGTAATAACAGAGTAAGTAGCGAATAAGTGTATGAATAAAGATTATTCTCGGGCAAAATCGACCATAAATGACTTGCCTAAATAGCACATTTACATACCTTGCGACCACTGCTTCGCCTTTTCTCGCCAACATCAGACTTGGGAGGAGTGATTCGAGATAATGACTTCTGTAGAGGTGACAGGGACATCTGCTTATTCTTCTCGGGACTTGATTGCTTGTCACCAGGTGTTGGAGGTTTTGCTTTTGGCGACAATATTTTTCCATCTTGGCTCAATTGATCACTGCGTGTTGTCAGTGGGCTCTTTGGTGTAGTCCTCACTGGTGTTCTTTTAGGGAAAGCTTGCTTGGATGGGGACGGAGTAGGCTTTGACTTAGGTGTCAGCATTTTCGAGTACAAGGGTTGAGATCGGGTTGGTGATTTTGTGGATGGTATCTTCACTGGCACTTGATCTGGGGTTGTGCGATAGGGAGACCCTGGAGGGAACTCAAACCGAAAGGAACGATCGATAACAGTAAAGACATCCCTATGAAAAACCCTGATGCCACCAACAACAGACTTCCCATTAAGAACAGTCTGGTTTACTTGGCTGAGATTTGTCAAAGAAATCTGAAATATAAAGGAATGATGCTTTAATATTACAAGTCTTTTATGCACTCCTGACAAAGAACATCAGTCTATAGCCTGCCCATCAAACAGTAACATACAGGGTATCTCACGATACGACACATACCACGATACTTTTAAGAGTAACTACCCAGCAAACTATACACTTTAACTGGTAGTCTACCAAGCATATGAATGCTTACAAATCAGTATCGTGGCGCGTGTCGTAAACAACTGCTATTGATTCAATCAGAAGTATATAGATAATAGGGAAGGAGTGTGACTTCAATAAACATGAGAAATTCGTCATTTACTAGCCTTAAGGCCCGCTTAGGTCGGCCTTACGACCTAGTCGCCGACAAGATTTGAATATCGTACGTCAAAAACCGGCCAGATCGCCGATAAAAACATCGGCGACCAAACTTGACATGAGTTCTCTTATGATCGAAAATACGGTCGCCGACTGCGATCGCAGGAATAGAACATGTTCTATTTCTATGCGGTGGTCGGCGACAAATCGTGAGTGGCAGCCAATCACCGCACCGTGTCGAGTCTCATGATTATCAAAAGTGACGTGATTAACAAAATGGCAGCCTACACAGCACTCGTCAGCAGTTTACAAACCCTTTCTCAAATATATATTAAGTTTTCCGTATATCACATTAATTTTTTTTCTGCACATGATTATAACGATTTTCAGAAAATTGAGGATAGATTTACGAAGTTACCTGATGTTTACTGGTAAGCGCCATTTTGTTGGTCACGTACGTGACTCGTTTTATGTAGACTGGTCCCGGCATCAAGCTTGCTCTGTTTGTGCTAAAGAACTGCTTGTGCTAGTACAAATACTGGGGCCGCGAACCCGTCTACGTTTCCTGCGAGAACACTACGATCTGATCGGCGATGTATAGCGTGAAGGCACTTCAAGTCGACGTGAGTGTTGCTACGCGTGCGTGGGGGGCATACCAGCTGTAAATAGGTCAAAGACTTGCTCGCCGAGTGTTGCGTCGATGTCCAATCTCCCAGCGAGCCACACCGCATCGCCGAGGGCACAAGAGTGTACAAGAGTCGTTTGTAGCTGCCTATTGTTTCAAGTTAGGCGGGTTATGGATTCGTTTTGCTGGCAACAGAATTGAGAATCGTGTCGTACGTTTTAGTCTGTATCTCCGGATTGCGGGTGTATACAAGGAATTGATTTTGCACGATGCTAGGCGAATGTACTGTCAGGGTTCTCCCCAGGATGAAATTGAAACAGGAGAGGGGGAGGGGAGGGGGGAAACTAGAGGAGTCCGGGGGGGGCGTGTTCTTTTACCGTACCACTAATGCGTAAAATGCGTTTCCCAAACGGGGGGGGGGGGGTTCCCAAACGGGGCGGGCGCGCCCGGTTTGCGCAACGTAGGGAGGGGCCTGCTGTGTACGATTTAAGCTCAAGTTAGTTGAGTTACGCGTAGTAAATCATAGGTATTCTAAGGCTAGTAAATGACGAATTTCCCTTGTTTATTGAAGTCACACTCCTTCCCTATTATCTACTTCTGATTCATTGTACTGAAAATTGTGTCATGAATACTTCTTTTGTTTTCTGATGAAATTAAGCTACCAAATGATATGGATTTCATTCAGTATTGATACGTGTATCTTGAATAGTCAAACCCAAGAACTGCCAAGAAATTCCTAATATTAAAACAAAACTAAAAACACCAAAGTCTCAGGAAATTTCTGTTGCAAATGATGGCCAGTTGTTAAGAGTTGTTTTTTTTTCAAACCACATTAATCCTACATTATCGTCCATACTTCATTCAACTGTTCAATGTGAAACTCGGGTTAAGCATGGGCGACTGTATTTACTATTTACAATTACAAATCGGGGGGAAAACAGGGCGTGAAGGCGAAAACAACTTCCTTATGGACAGAGGAAATAGGACAATACTGTTAGACAGGGAAGAAGTGGAACTGTTAGGTTTTCTAAAGTTTCTGCTAGTAAGTTTTGCTGCCTGCTTTGCATCTGGCAGCACGTATTTCAAAAAATACCAGATTTTCACCGCTCATTATCTCAGCGTAGAGGCATCGTAGGGACATGCGGTTTGTTATATATTAATAAGGTAGGACAGCTGATCAATAATACTGCAAAGAATCATCAAAATAAAACGGGGAAAGTTTATTAATTCGACTAATACTGCAACATGGTTTCAGCATTTCACCGTTGTACGCTCTCCTTCTGTATACGCTCTTGAATATATATATAACATACATGGTAAACAATTTAATAAACATTACCTCGCCGTTTTCATTTACGTCAATGCGACAATGTTCCTTAGAGACATTTGGAAGCTGTATGCGTATATCACATTCATTGCTCCTGTATCAAAATAAAACATTGATATATTAACTAGTGAAGCTTAAACCCAAATGAATTATTCGATATTAAATAGCAAAATGCCCACCCCTTGGCCTTATCATTTCCTTTAACTGAATGTAGTAGACCATAATTTATACTCTTTACAGTTTAGATACTTTAGATGAATATCTGACATGTCTTTGACTATCTAACCACCAGAGTTGGCCACCAATAAAGAACTTGACAAAAACCATGATCTTTTAGTTTTAAAGATATGGGCTATCACAATATATGCAAGTTTTGATACAAGTTATACACTTAGTGATACATTTTTAGTATTGTACTATTTATATAGTTGCATTACATAACCAATGTACTAATAGTCTTAATCTTAACTCTATGTGGAATATCATAACTGACATGGTTTTCATATTTCATGCTTGTAGCCATTATAGGAAATTTACACTATGCTACACAAAATATAACTTACGAATCAATGATTTGGCTATGTAAATCAAAATGTTTCACTTAAATGAAAAAAACACCTATCTGCAATTCTAAAACAACTGACAATCTTACCTCCCAAATAAGCACTGTGGTACTGTTAGTGGGAAATGTGCACCATCCTGGTCATTTCTCTTTATTACAACTATTTTCCCATACAGCGGCATCCTGGAAAAGATCACATTTATATAAAGGTGTCAATTGGTATATTATTTAAACATAAAAATTGTACTATATCATCGACTCATCACATATTATTTAAAGCATGTCTGTACAATAACCTCATAAATATTAGTCTTCAAAGTCCAATGGACTATATCAAAGACAGATGGAGACAAAGTTGGGCCCAAGCCTAGTTTTACACCCCAAATTAGTTTAGATGCGAAAACATATTGCAGGGGTCCAAAACTATCCTTGATACCTAGGTTGATCAATTTGACAGATCAATGCTGCAGATTGCAGTAGAAAAAGCCTCAAATTTGCAATTAACTAAATAGGAACGGAGAAAATTCCAATTGATGCGGAATGACACAAAACTTGATATAAATAGATTAATAATATTACATTGAATAATGGATGCCATGAGTCTTTCAAGTTTCAACATATATCCTCATAACCTCATAAATAGTAGTCTACAAAAGTCCAAGTAGTCAGGTCCCTTAGTGCAAAATATGGGCCGAATCGTTACAGTCCTGACTGACAAAAGTCTCAAACTTGGCACAGTTGTAGCTTATGGCAGAACTATAATTATTAGAGGGAGTGCCCAATGCAGATATTCCTTAGAAGTGAATTACAGATGATTAAATGTTTGAACCACCCGACTCCGAACCCCCCAACCGCGCCCGTCTGTATACAATGTGCCAGTACAGGCGGGCGCGGTAGAGGGGTTCGGAGTCGGGTGGTTCGAACATTTAAAGGCATACTAGGCCCATTGATTATGCAATGTTGACGAATGCTAGAGTAACTAGCACCTTGTGTAGTTAATAACTAACTAGAAAGGGCAGTTGTCGCCAACTACATGTATCCCCCATGTTCTCCCCAAAATGTGTAAGCAGGGTTGAAAATAACTCGCCGATCCGGTGATCCGACGGCTTTTTCAGCTTCGGATCAACACCGGATCATGAAAAATAAAACATCGGTGATCCGACTGGATCACCGAAAAATATTTACATGCTATACCTTTCTATGCCTACTTATTAATATTATAGAACTGTCTGTGCAACACTCAGACTCAGACTGAGAAAGAGAT